ATGGGTTCCACTCACTTGCAACACCCACCATTGCTGCAGGTGCTCATCAGCTCCAAAAAGTAGAGCTTCTGGGCACTAGAGGGTGCCACTTACACAAAGCAATGCCATAGGAATCACTAAAAAAATGAAATGGCAAAAAAATTTTGTACAAACAAAAATACAGGAGAAGATGTCAGAAAGAAGGTTAAGTGAAACTGAAATCACCAATCTTCTTGGTAAAGACTTCAAAATAAAAAACATAAACGTGCTCATGGAGCTACAGAAAAATATTCAAAATCTCAGAGATCATTTCAAGAGAGATAGAAACTTTGAAAAATATAGTATCTGAAATGAAACATACAAAATAGTGGGATTTAAAAACAGATTAGATGAAATAGAGAAGATAGTAAATGAAATAGAAGTTAGAGAACAGGAATACAAAGAAGCTGAGGCACAGAGAGAAAAAAGGATCTCTAGGAATTAAAGAATAATAAGAGAACTATGTGACCAATCCAAACAGAACAATATTTACATTATAGGGGTATCAGAAGAAGAAGAGAGAAAAAAGGGATAGAAAGTCTCTTTGAGGAAATAATTGCTGAAAACTTCCCCAATCTGAGGAAGGAAATATTCCTTAGGTCATGGAAATGCAGAGATCTCCCAACACAAGGGACCCTAGGAAGATAACACCAATACATGAAATAATTAAAATGGCAAAGATCAAGGACAAGTAGAAGTATTAAAAGCAGCCAGAGAGAAGAATGATCACATACAAAGGAAAATGCACCAGGCTATCAGCAGACTTCTCAGCAGAAAACTTACAGGCCAGAAGGGAGTGGCATGATACATTGAATGCAATGAAACAGATGGGCCTCAAACCAAGAATATTCTACCCAGAAAGATTATCATTTAAATTTGAAGGAGGGATTAAACAATTTCCAGATAAGCAAAAGTTGAGAGATTTTACCTCAAACAAACCTTCTCTACAGTGTATTTTAAAGGGACTGCTATAGATGGAAGTGCTCTGAAGTCCAAGTAGCAGTCACCAGAGAAAATAAAACCACAGTAAAGGAAGTAGACCAATTGATAACTAAGCAAAGGCAAAATTAAACCAACTACCAACAAAGTCAGTCAAGGGATACACAAAGAGTACAGAATATGACACCTAATATATAAAGACTGGAGGAAGAAGAAGAAGAAGAAGGGAGAAAAAAAAGAACCTTTATATTGTGTTTGAAATAACATAATAAGTGAGTTAAGTTAGACTGTTAGTAAGGAAGCTGCTCTTGAATCTTTGGGAACCATGAATCTGCCTGCAATGGCAATAAGTATATATCTTAATGTAAATGGACTGAGTGCACAAATCAAAAGACACAGAGTCACTGAATGGATAAAAAAACAAGACCCATCTATATGCTGCCTACAAGAGACTCACTTCAAACCCAAAGACATACACAGACGAAAAGTGAAAGGATGGAAAAAGATACTTCCTGTAAATAATAGGGAGAAAAAAGCAGGAGTTTCACTACTTGTATCGTACAAAATACATTTCAAAACAAAAAAGTAACAAGGGACAAAGAAGGATATTACATAATAATAAAGGGTCAGTCCAATAAGAGGAAATAACCTTTACAAATATCTATATAGTCAACATAGGAGCACCTAAATATGTGAAACAAATATTAACAAAATTAAAGGGGGAAATAAAATGCAATGCATTCATTTTAGGAGACTTCAACACATCACTCACTCCAAAAGACAGATCAACCAGACAGAAAATAAATAAGAAGACAGAGACACTGAACAACACATTAGAACAGATGAACCTAACAGACATCTACAGAACACTCCCTCCTAAAAGCAGCAAGGTAACATTCTTCTCAAGTGCTCATGGAACATTTTCTAGAATAGATCACATACTAGGCCACAGAAAGAGCCTCAGTAAATTCAGAAGGAATGAAATTGCACCAACCAGCTTCTCAGACCATAAAAGTATGAAACTAGAAATAAATTATGCAAAGAAAATGAAAAAGCCCAGAAACATGTGGGAGCTTAATAACATGCTCCTAAATAATCAATGGATCAATGACCAAAAAAAAACAGAGATTAAGCAATGTAGGGAGACAAATGAAAATGACAATTCAACACCCTGAAAGCTGTGGGACACAGTGAAGGCCATGCTAAGAGGGAAGTATATTGCAATACAGGCTTTCATCAGGAAAAAAGAACAATCCCATACGGAGAGTCTAAACTCACAATTAACGAAACTAGAAAAAGAAGAACAAATGAAGCCCAAAGTCAGTTGAAGAAGGGATATAATAAAGATCAGAGGAGAAATAAATGAAATAAAGAATAAAACAATAGAAAGCATCAATGAAATCAGGAGCTGGTTCTTTCAGAAAATAAACAAAATAGATAAATCCCTAGCCAGACTTATCAAGAAAAGAAGAGAGTCTGCACACATAAACAGAATCAGAAATGAGAAAGAAAAAGTCACTATGGACACCACAGAAATGCAAAGAATTACAAGAGAATACTATGAAAAATTACATATCAACCAATTGGATAACCTAGAAGAAATGGACAACTTTCTAGAAAAATACAACCTTCCAAGAATGACACAGGAAGAAATAGAAAATCTGAACAGACCAATTACCAGCAAAGAAATTGAACTGGTAATCAAAAAGCTACACCCATCCTCCTTAAGTTTTCTGAAAAATAGAAGAGGGAATACTTCCAAACTCATTTGTGAGACCAGCATCACTCTAATACTGAAACCAGGTAGACAGCACAAAAAAAGAAAATTCCAGACCAATATTCCTCACAAACACTGATGGAAAAATCCTCAACAAAATATTAGCAATCCAAATTCAAATATACATAAAAAAAGATGGTCCATCATGATGAAGTGGGATTTATTCCAGGGATGCAAGGATGGTACAATATTCAAAAATCCATCAACATCATATGCCACATCAACAAAAAGATGGACAAAAATCAAATGATCCCCTCAACAGAAGCTGAAAAAGCATTTGAAAAAACTCAACATTCATTCATGACAAAAACTCTCAACAAAGTGGGTATATATTCCTAAGTGACATATCTGACAAGGGGTTAATATCCAAAATATATAAAGAACTCACATGCCTCAACACCCAAAAAGCAAATAACCCAATCAAAAAAAAAATGAAGGGAGGGTATAAACAGACACTTCTCCAAAGAAGAAATTCAGATGGCCAACAGGCATATGAGAAAAGATGTTCCACATTGCTAATTATCAGGGAAATGAAATTAAAACCACAATGAGATATCACCTCACACCAGTTAGGATGGCCAGCATCGAAAAGACAAGGAACAACAAATGCTGGCAAGGATGAGGAAAAAGGGAAACTACAACAAATGCTGGCAAGGATGAGGAAAAAGGTGGGAATGTAAATTAGTTCAACCTTTGTGGAAAGCAATACAGAGGTTCCTCAAAAAACTAAAAATAGAAATACCATTTGACCCAGGAATTCCATTCCTAGGAATTTACCCAAAGAAAACATGATCCCTGATTCAAAAAGACACATGCACTCCTTTGTTTATCACAGCACTATTTACAATACTCAAGATATGGAAGTAACCTAAATGTCCATCAGTAGATGAATGGATAAAGAAGATGTGGTACATATACACAATGGAATATTATTCAGCTATAAGAAGAAAACATGTCCTACCATTTGCAACAACATGGATGGAGCTAGAGGGTATTACACTCAGTGTGTGAAATAAGCCAGATGGAGAAAGACTAGTACCAAATGATTTCACTCATTAGGGGAGTATAACAACAAGGTAAAACTGAAGGAACAAAACAGCAACAGACATACAGATTACAAGAAGGGACTAGCAGTTACCAAAGGGAAGGTACTGGGGAGAGTGAGTGGGGAGGGAGGGAGAAGGGTATTAAAGAGCACTGTAATTAGCATTCACAATACAGGTAGGTCACAGGGAAGGCAGTACAGCACGGAGAAGACAAGTAGTGACTCTATAGCATCTTACTATGCTCATGGACAGTGATTGCAATGGGGTGTGGGGGGGACTTGATAATATGGGTGAATGTTGAAACCACTATATTACTCTTGTGAAACCTTTATAAGATTGTATATCGATGATACCTTAATTTTTAAAAATCTCATTTACTCATTAGGTCTCCCATAGGGGGATTTTTTTAATACCAAAGGCCTGTTTCATGAGGGTAGGGGTCAGGATAGAGATGGCAAAAGATTGCCAGGAAAGACAGGAAAGGATTGACATCATTTAGTGTCTACTGTGGGGCAGATCCTGTGATAGGCAGTGCACCAGGTGGCTGACATTTATTACATTCACATATTGCAAACACAGACTGAGTATTTTTGCACACATTATCCCACTTAATCCTCACAACAAACCTATGTGTTGAAACTTATTAAAGTCCCCATTTTACAAAAGAGAAATCTAAGTCTTACAGAGGTTAGGCAGTTGCCTAAAATGACAAGGGTTCAAAATGGTGAAGATGTGATTCCATCCAGGTAATGATAATCCAGGCAAGTATGAATTGTTCGGCCTGTTTTTGCAAAGATGTGGAAGTAATTTGTAGTTGATAAAGTAGGCTTTCAAACCTGCCCTAACCAAGTAAGTGGTTTCAACCCTGGTGGCAATTAGGAAGTACCTGGGAACTTTAAAAATAATTATCTCTTTACCTGAGCTCTACCCTCAACCAATTAAGTCCCAATCCTTGGAGGTGGGGTCTAGGCACTGGTACTTCCTTAAATTTCTTCCCATGATCTCAATGGGCAGCCATGGTCAAGAACTGCTACTCTGTCTATACGATATTCTATATGAGATCCTAGAGAATGCTAAATTTTGTATATTTACAGACATACACCCATGTATATGTATTTAATTTTTCAACATTAACATGAGCCCTCCATCAGAGCATATTACTGATGGGAAGATAAAACAGGAAAGCCCCCTTCATCATTAAGAAACTGAAGATCACATACCTGTATAATGTAGTATTGCTGCACTTCACTGCCAGGGCTCGAGAAGACTGCTGTGTTTCTAAGTGGGCTGGTGATGATGGGGACAGATTCCTTACAGGAGATGGCTATTGAGTTAAACTCTGAAAGAAAAAAAGAATGCAGCATGAAACAGATGGCAAGGCAGAGAGTCTGATGACCTCTGTTGATTTATCCCTTTGTGCTGCTGTCTCCATTGCAGAACACAGTTTTAAAAGTCAGCTCTTGTCAAGTTCAATGGTATACTGTTTCTCAGCATTTCTCTTTCTCCGGGAGTAAGTAGGCTTTGCTAATACCGAAATTGTTGGAAGAAAATTGTTTTCTTTTCCAGAGCTTTACTTAAGATGTTAGATAGGGTACTGTTTCAAGATTCAGGATTAGTTTTATTTGGACTCCCACCACAGTGTCACAGTGTGTCACAGGAAGACCACCACTTGTCTTAGCGCTGGAAATGACAAGTGTAAGCAAGACTTGTCCAAGAAAATTGGTGCAAATGGAAATTAGCTGGAGTGAGTGAGTGTGTAATGTGAAGGGTCTATATGTGTGTGTGCGAAGATGGGGAGGGGTGGATGTTAAAAAATAGCCCATCAAGCCAAAGAAGTCAATACATCCAAGTCCACAATCTTACTGAGGACTGACAGAGATAACAAGTTGACCTGTCAGTGGGCATTTCCACTATTTGCTTTATGGAAGAATATCCACAGGATGGGGGTATAGATTGGAAGAAAGAGTTAAAAAAAAGTTAATTCAAGAAATTAGTACAGAAACCCTATGTGCTTTATAGAATAATTGTCCTACAAAGGAGAACAAAGTATCTATCTTATCTGTCAGTTTATATATGTATATATACATGTTTTTCATAAATTGCTTTATCATGAGGTTAAAGGAGCCATTGATATAATACTAGAGATAGAATGGGATATATATCACACATGTCTACTCTTTGTTCTGAACATCCAGCCCTCAGCCTTCTATTTCAACCCCAAAACAGTTGGGCTGGAGGCTCCTGTTTGGGCATCCAAATCCTTTCCCCTCACAGGGAACAAATGGATGTGGCCGCTATCCTGCTCCCTGCCCAAGAAGGCTCCTCTCAGACCACTGCAGCTTAAAGTAAAGCCAAGTCTCTTTTGAACCAGGGACTGCTATTATTGATGTAGTGCTGCACAGATTCTGCCTCCATTTATATTCCTAGATTCCAAACTATTTTGCTTTGCATTGTTATCTCAACTGAACATTTTTTGTGTTAGTAGAGAACCAAGGAAAATAATCTCTATAAAGTTATGTACCTTTTTTCCTCCAGAAACACTAGATTTCTTAAATAAACAGGCAAGAGAGGGAAATCCTGAATTTTTACTTAATTTATCTTAGCAATCTGTATTAAACCATAGTTTTCCATCTCTTAGTGCTTTAATCTTCTGGGCCTCAGTTTTTCTTATCTGAAAAATGAGAGAGTCCTTATATTCATCAACTATTTATTAAGCACTTATTATACACCAGGTGCTGTTTGGGGGAATAAGAGAAAATCCTTGATCTGTGGAGCTTGCATTGTAGTGGGTTAGACAGATTATAAAAAACAAGAACTTACAGAATATAATGTCTGATTGTGATAGTGTTAAGAATAAAATCATAGCAGTGGAAAAAGGACAGAGTGGTGGTGATGGGGTTCTCTGTTTAGATGGGGAATCAGGAATGGCCTTTCTGAGCTGGTGACACCAGAGCAGAGGGCTAAGGAAGTGAGGGAAAGGGGGTGTGGGTACTGGGGGAAAGTGAGATCCAGGTTGAAGAGGAGGCTGGTACAAAGACCTGAGGAGGAGCATGCTTGGTGTGAATGAGGACAGCAGGGAGGCCAGGGCAGCTGCAACAGTTGGCTACAGGAGGAGGAATCGTGGGCAAACGTCCAGGGCCACACTGTGTAGCCTTGTGGCCATGGTAAGGGCTTTGGTTTTTCTTCACTATGTGATGAAAAGTCACTCGAGGATTTTGTGCAAGGAAATGCTATGATCTGATTTCAATTCTAAAGTGATTTCTCTGGCAACTCTGAGGAGCCTATAGTCAGCAGGAGAAATAAAGAACATAGTTAGGATGCTATGGCAGGAAATCACAGAGACAAGGTTGCAAGCTGTGCAGGTGGTGAGAAATGCTGGAGTAGGTTTTGGAGAGACAGCAGATTGAGGGCTTGCTGAGAGATGGAATGTGGGGTATGAGATGGGAAAAGTGAAGAATACAGGTTCTGGCAGTATGGCTGAAGCAAAAGGTCAGTACTGGGCACATTAGACTTGAGATGTCCAGTACATAGTCAAGTGGAAAAACTTCGCAGGCTACTAGATAGAGAAGTTTGGGGTCCAGAGGCAGTGTCAGGGCTGGAGATATATGTTTGGGGGTAGTCAACATATAGAAGGTGTTTAAAGTCAAGGAACTGAATGGGAAACAGCAACAGAGGGAGTAGGAGAAAAGAGGGCCTAGGACTTTCACTCCAGTGTTTGGAAATCTGGATTATGAGGGGTGTGGAGAAAAGAAAACTGAGATAGTGTAGTCATTAAACCAGGAAGGAAAGGAGAAAATCAGGAGTGTGGTAGAGCAGTTTTCAAGCTTTCTTTTTAGAGCAGTATAACTTTTTGAAAAACCATTTCTAAACCTAATCTTAGAAAGAAGCCAACAAAGAAAACTTTTAAACCCTGTTGTTCAAGAATGGAGGGTTGGGGTGCTGGACTTCTATCCACTAGTAGAGAATCTTTCCTGCACCCCAGGCTCTGTGAAGGTCAATTGTCCCATCACTGGGATAGTTTGGGGTTCCTAACTGAAGCTTCATGCCCATCTATTTCTCTCACACTCCCAGGACCCAGCTGAGAGCAGGGGGTTGAGGAATTACACTTTGTAAACTTACTTTGGGGTCAGAAGAGAGAAGGTGGGACTGGCAGGCTCTAGGGACTGAATATTCAAATTCATATGTTGAACCCTAATACCCAGTGTGATGGTATCTGGAGATGGCCCTTTGGGATGGGAGGTGATTTGGTCATGGAGTAGAGCCCTCATGAGTGAGATGACTGCCTTTTTAGAAGGAGACACAGAGAGCTTGATTCCATTCTCTATATCTACTAAATGAGGACCTAACAAGAAGAGATCATTCACCATGGACCAAACCAGGGATCATTCAATCCCTGATTTTCCCAGCCTGCAGAACTGTGAGAAACAAATTTCTGTTGTTTAAACCACCCAGTCTGTGTCATCTATGATGGCAGCCCACGGTGACTGAGATAGCAGGGCCTGGAAGAGCCCTCCCTGCAAACCTAGGGGCTGTCTGCAGCAGCACATACCACAGGATTGTGCAGAGAGAGGGGAGGGTGACCAGCGCCTGCCTGGCTCTTCTGAGCTTTGCTTCTGAACAGTTCTTCCAAGATGGCTGGTATCTGGCCAAAGTGCTTCTGTGGGGAGTGAACACATTTCGTCAAAAAGTTGGGCATTTCTTTTCTTTCATGCTTCACCAAGCTTTCATAGATCCCAGGCACCAAACCTGGTGGAAAGGGGGAGCTATCAGCCCAACAGCAGACAAATATAATAGATGTAATAATGAAGTAGATTGAAACACCCTGACACCCTGCACCAGAAATATACGCTTTGTAAATCTTCTTAACCTTAGACCTTCTTCTTGGGAGATCACACAGGGTCTCCTCTGCCCTGATGGTCCACTGACTTCACTCTCAGACGCAGAGTCTGTGTCTCAGTCAGAGACCTGCAGTTACTTTCCAGACTCACGTCCACGTATGTTCAGATAAACTAGGAAATTGATTTGGTTCCCACTAACCAATTTCCTGCCTTTAAAATTATTAGTTCTCACCGAAATTGCAATTTAAACAGTTGCTTTATGAAGAGCCTAAGCTATAGTTCTTCCATCAATTTCCCCCTTATTTTAATGAGAATCTTCTTAGAGACATACATACATTTTAAAGATTTCATTCACTCAACAGATATTTACTAAGTACCTCCTAGGAATCAGGTACTGAGCTGGGCATTGGGGCACAGTATTAAACAAGACACAAACATCCTACACTCATGAAGTGTACATGTTGCCAAAGAGGGTTCATAAAGGGATAAAGGGCAAATAAAATTAGAGAGAGTTTCCAATTGTGACCAGCATAAATAAGGAACAAGGAAATGTGATAGAGAAGGCCTGGGCTGGTCCTTTTAAATAGAATCGTCTGGGACACACCCTCCAAAATAGTGACATGTGTACTGATGTTCAATGTCTGAGGCAGCCATGCAAGTGGAGAAGGATCCGGAGAGAAGGAACAAGTGTAAAGCCTCAAAGAGGGAAACAGGAATAGAAAGGAAACTATTGTGGTTGTACTGATTCAAAGAGAGAGAGATACACAGAAAGCTGACAAAGGACAGATCTTACAAGACCATATACAATATAGAAAGAAGCTTTGCTTTTATTCTAAGGGAATGGAAGTTGAATGCTTTTAAGCAGAATGGAGTCTTGATTAGTTTACATTTTTTAATTAAACTTTAAAAAATTTTTGAGATAATTGTAGATTCCCAGGCAGTTGTAAGTAATAAACCAGACAAATCCCATGTGCCTTTTTTACCCAGTATAATATCATCACCAGGATATTGATATTGATACAATTCACTAGTCTTATTCATATTTTCCAAGTTGTATATGTATTTGTATGAGTGTATTTAGCTCTATATCATTTTTAATAGACTTTAATTTTTAGAACAGTTTTAGCGAAACAGAAACATTGAGCAGAAAGTATAGAAAGTTCTCATCTGTCTCCTGCCCCTACCCATGCACAGCCTCCTCCACTACGAACATCTTGCATACAAGTGTATTTTGTTACTATCTATGAACCTTTGTGGACACATGATTACCATCTAAAGTCCATAAGGTCTATTAGGGTTCATTCTTGGTGTTTTATATTCTAGAGGTCATAATATCTCCACCATTGCAATATCATGTAGAATAGTTTCATTGTCCTAAAAGTCCTTTGTGCCCTACCTATTCATCTCTCTACCCCACAACCTCAGGCAGCCATTGATCTTTTTACTGTCCCTATAGTTCTGCCTTTTCCAATCATAACATTGGAATCATATAGTATAGTCT